ACATTCTAGTCCACATGTACGTCATTCTAGCATCTAATCTTCCTCGGCCACCTCGGTATCTAACCGCGAGAAACTCCTTGTCTCGGGGTGTAGAGTGGTACAAAGGGTGGAAATACGAGACCCCATTTTTGTTCTTTTCCTTCGTCATGCAAAAGGGAAAGTGGAACCACTGTGGGGGCATTGTTATGCTGAAACCGGTATAACTAGAGTGAATGTGCAACTTCTGAAACGCCTGCTATTGGACAAACAGACTACATAATCTGGCGTGGTAAGCGTAGACATTTTTCAATCGTGTACATCTCATACGTGCTGTAATCAAATCAATTCAAGACATTCAATTTTGACACTGTCCCAACATGACAAGAGAGAGATACTTGTACAGCACTTTCTACACAGTCCCATGTCTAAGACACACCACATGTCAACCCCCGATTGTCTTAGTCTCAATTTCTCCATCGGGGCTAATAACCCCCTTCCCCCTAAGTATACCACATATTTTTCCGCTCGTCCTCATCAACAACAATATCGTACCAGTTTGCACATTGTGATTGTTGTCCCCACCGTGATTCCTACCACAACCCTACAGCTATTGCCTAAGGTTACTGCGTGACTGCGAGGTGAAAGTCAATAGCGTACGGCTCTACTATTTGAGTTTTACCCCAGAATTTGCGCGCCATGAACGTCTATCTTTCAGGGCCCACTCGAAGGTTTTAAACCGGGCCCCTGTGGCAGGGAATCACTTAGGATAGATGTTGACAGATAATAGGAAGATTCAAACTGTATCCTTCTTGAATCTACACCCACCCCCTTCGCACCACTCGCCATGTCCTGCCCTAAAAGACACTCATTCATTCAAAACAAAAGTCTGCAATTCAACTAAAGCAGAAACCTTGAGTTTATCCCCGCTGGAGTTTATTTTTCAAGAGGAAATAGACAAGCATAAGCAGAAAAGCACCAAAAAAAAATACACATACTGTGAAAACTCCTGACACTAGTGGCGAAACAAGCAGAAAAAGCCCCGTTGGGAAATTGGCTCTAGTTGTACCTCAGTTCTAGACCTCCTATGGAACTGCAGCCCCAACACGACCCACCCAAGCGCAAGCACCTCTCGTTATGGTCCCGCCAAGCCATGCACAGCTCCTTGTCAAGTCATGGCCACGTACAGCAAAGGAGGAGGCCAGGTAACAAGCGATAAGCGAGTTCAGGAGGAGGGGCCCGGAGAATTGAGTCTCGAAAAATGTGCACTGTGGTAATAAAAGTCGTACCGGTAATTTCAAGGAGCATGAAAGAAGCATCGAGTTAAGCACACTAGTAAAAAATTTGATCCATTCAAATGAACCGTCATGTTCAGCCGCGCTCCCATCTCAACTCTGATTTTTTTTTATCTGATGATATACTGAGACAGCTCTCGGACAACACGTACCAATACACTGGACATACGACGGCTATTGAACTGTGTTAGTGTCCCCCGCCTTGTCCATTGCTTGTCGGTGTTCCCCATGTCATATTTTTTACTTGTTCTAATCATCTCCTATTTGCATCCCCACATGTCCAACCCCTCTTACAGAAAGACAAGTTCGGACATGAAACCTTGCAGAGTGTGTCTAAAGCAGCTGAGCCCGAGGCTTATCTGGGCTTGGGTTGTAGTGTCAGCCAAGAAACAAGCCCCGAAGCAGGCACAAGTAGAGTAGGGACGTGGAGAGCTGTCATATATATAAATACCGACTCCCCGGAGAAGAATGCCGACTATTCCGTTTCAACAACAACTTCCAAATGGAAACCGAAAAAACATTTACAACGACCACGGTCGACTCCGATCCCGACACCCGGGGGGAGGTCGTGGTCAACACCAAGAAGATGAACGCGTGGCAGCGATTTGTAGACGGCTTTGGCCCGGCAGACGTTTCCCACATTGACACTGAGGGCCTGACTCCCATGGAGATTGCCGCTATCAAAACCGCTAATGCTCCTCTCAATAGAGGTCTCAAGGGCCGTCATCTACAGATGATTGCCATTGGAGGCTCTATTGGAACCGGTCTGTTTGTCGGATCCGGAGCCTCGCTCGCCACCGGAGGACCCGCAGCTCTCCTCATCGCCTATGGTATCATTGGATGCATGCTTCTGTGCACCGTCCATGCCCTAGGAGAGCTGGCTGTGGCCTTCCCCGTCTCTGGTGCCTTCTCCACCTACTTCACACGATTCATTGACCCGGCCTGGGGTTTTGCCATGGGCTGGAATTACACCCTGCTGTGGTTTGCCATTCTGCCTCTAGAGCTTGTAGCAGCCTCCATCACGGTGGAGTACTGGAACGAGCAGAACGGTACGAATATCAACCCGGCCGCCTGGATTTGTCTCTTTTGGGCTCTCATTGCAGGTATCAACCTCTTTGGAGTCAAGGGATACGGAGAAGCCGAGTTCGTCTTCTCCATCATCAAGGTGGCTGCAGTCATTGGCTTTATCATCATGGGTGTCGTCTTTGTGTGTGGTGGAGGACCTAATGGGTACGATTACGACCATTACATTGGAGGAAGCATGTGGAAGAACCCTGGAGCCTTTGCCCATGGGTTCAAGGGAGTCTGCTCCGTCTTTGTCACCGCCGCCTTTGCCTTTGCTGGTACTGAACTGGTTGGTCTGGCTGCTGCAGAGACTGAGGACCCCCGACGAATGCTCCCCACCGCCACGAAGCAGGTCTTCTGGCGAATTTGTCTCTTCTACCTCATTTCGCTGACTCTGGTCGGTCTTCTGGTGCGATTCGATGACCCCCGGCTCCTCAACGGATCCTCAAACGTCGACATCAAGGCCTCCCCCTTTGTCATTGCCATTTTAAATGCCGGAGTTAAGGGTCTGCCCTCCGTTATGAACGTGGTCATCATGATTGCTGTTCTGTCTGTCGGTAACGCATCCGTGTATGGCTTCTCTCGAACCATTGCCGCCATGGCTCTTCGAGGAGAGGCCCCCGCCTTCTGGGGATACATCGACAAGAATGGCCGTCCCATTTACGGTATTTTTGCGGTGCTTGCATTTGGCCTGTTTGCTTTCATTGCCGCTGCATCAGGCGACATCCGAAACAAGGTGTTCATGTGGCTGCTGGCTCTTTCGGGTCTGTCTTCGATTCTGGTTTGGGGATCCATTAACCTTGCCCACATCCGGTTCCGACAGGCTCTCAAGTACCGAGACCGTGACACTACAGAGCTGACTTTTGTCGCCGGCTTTGGTGTCTGGGGATCCATTTTTGGTCTCTCTCTCAACTGCCTTGTGCTCGTCGCCCAATTCTGGATCGCTCTGTATCCTATTGGAGGTGAGCCCAATGCCGAGGCCTTCTTTGCCGCCTACTTGGCTGCCCCCATCGTCATTGTCTTCTGGATTTTCTGGAAGGTCTGGAAGCGACCTCCCTTCCTCAAGGTGTCGGACCTTGACATTGACACTGGCCGACGAGACACGGATCTGGACCGGGTCCGGGCTGAGACTATCGCCGAGCGTGAGTACATTGCTTCCAAGAACTTCTTCTTCCGAGTCTACAAGTTCTGGTGTTAGTCATGTGTCTTTCGACAACAGTGTGTGTTTTTTTATGATGATGTAATAGTAATATAATAATGATGCCTTTCTCAGTTCCTCAGCTGTTTCCCCTACAGCATCAGTGCACCGAATGTCTCACTCACTTGTGTCTCACTCAAAATAGCAAACAATGATATTGCTAATGGTCAATAGTATTGTGCATTATTGTATTGTATTTATTCCCTGCTGAATTCGACAATGGTACACACGTGCTTAACTGCTATGACCGGTGAAAGCTGCTCCAGCCCTGAAACAGCCCCTGCTCGGATCGCTGTCGTCAGAATTACTTTTGTTGGTAACTGCTTGCTTTTTGCTCCAGAATAGAATTTGCTTTTGTGATGGGCCAATATGTACATCCCTGGTTGCTTTTGACAAGAGAATGACAATCAGTCTCGATTCCCCTTTATTAGCCTATACTTGTTCAAATTGAAGGGATATACTGCTATACAGTGCAGTGCTCACCATTCCTTTTCCTCTCTTGGATCAATCTCGAAAGTGAGACTTGAAGATGACAACGTTTGATTACGCAGTCGTTTCTTGTTCTCGTTCCTTTCACCTTGTACATAATGCCAGGGTTTTTAAAATCGTATTGCGCGTTATATAAAAAAGCAATAGGGCAAAATTGATATGAAAATATACAATCCGATTGTGTGTTGTTCAGCATGTGATTCGGTGCTCGTGGATCCTCATCGCACGAGGGTTATTGCAGGAGAGTTTGTTTCATCTCTCGAAAGGTTGGCCACTTGGTGAGGTTCCTGTAAAATAACTGAACGACACTCACTTTGTGTTTCTTGTTTGAAACTGAAACACAATCATTATTAGACGCCGTGTCACGTGAATTTCAGGTTTTCTTTATTCGAAATATGCATTTCAGCGATGTGCCTAGTGAGCCTGGCTATTGGCATGTAATGAATCTTACTCTGCGAACTCGGCATCAGTGCTTGGGTCAGTGGTATCAAGGGCCACCAATTCTTTGTACCCGTCTGCGCGCTTCTGACTCGATCTTGCTACAAAGAATCATCCTTACTAGGTGCCCTGGTACGAGTAGTAGATCAAATCGAAACAAGACATATAAGCAAGACAATAAGCAGAACAAAACAAAAAACAGCAAAAGAAAGCAGGTCCGAAAACTCATCAGTACGATAGGGGTTGTTAAAAAGGGCAAAAGGGGGAACAGCTCTTTATTGATAATCATTGGTAATCGTGCACATTGTGCCTGGAATCCTTTTGTTCTGTATTTTTTGTGTTTTTTTATTCTAGAAATACATTCCAGCGAAATGAGGCCTATAACAATACTAAACCCGCATATCAGATTCAGAATCGGATTTACATGAAAGAAATAACAACCATATTCTATTTCGTCACGGTTTGTCGTTTTTTTCGCGGGCTTAGTCATCAGTTAGCTTAGTTGCGAGTCCAAGTTTCCAAATTTTGAAAATTCCAGCGGCCCGATGGTTTAGTGGTATAATTCTCGCTTAGGGTGTCCTAGGCAATTTGCGAGAGGTCCCGGGTTCAATTCCCGGTTGGGCCCATCTTTTTTTGCTCCTGATTCGATGGTATGTTTCGATATGTCTTACTAAGCCGTACTAGGCTAGCTGTACCAGAAACGGTACGTGACTTTTTATTTGTTGTACGCATTCTAAATCTAACACAATAATCAATCTATCTTACATATTCTTTTGCTCCTATCATCTGAGTATCATGATGATTTCCATGAGATGCTGTATCGTTCACCAAAGCTTGTCCACTTTCTCCGCATCGGCTTCTCTTACCAGTCAGGGTTCTCCTTTCGTCGGAAGCATGCAACAAACTTATCTCCCTCGTTTCGGGCCACCTTCTTGCCCTCCTCGGTCTCGACCAACATGGTAGCCACGCAAGGATCAGCATCCTCTTCCTCCTTGGTCAGTCGCTCAAACAGAGGGTGGGCAGCGAGATGCTTGACCATCCACTCGTGCAGATCCTTGACATCAGTAATAGTATAGACGATTCCTCCAGGTCGCACAACGTAGGCGTACTCGGAACACAGAGTGGTGGTGACGATTCGAGCCTTGTGTTTTCGCTGCTTGAAGTGAGGATCGGGGAAGCAGAAGAAAATCTTAGACAGCTGGCCCTTCTCAAAAAAGTTGGGCAAGAACTTCATGGCGTTACCTCGAAGAACACTAATGTTCTGGTAGCCATCGGTCTCCTTGTTCTGCTGTCGGAGAGCCACAATTCGGTCCTCCACATAGTTAGTAACCTGAACTCGGATCTCCATGCCCAGGATGAGCTGGTTGGGCAGCTGGGGGGACAGGGCAACCAGAAGGCCTCCAAATCCACATCCAATGTCGGCCACCTCGACCTTCTGGCCTTCCTTTCGGTTGGGGAAAAGCACGTCCCAGTCCATATCCGCGGGCGACTCGGGGTACTCGAGCTGATGGTCCGAAAAGGGATTCGAGTGGGCTCGCTGTCTGTAGTATCGCTTCTTGGGGAGCTTGATCTCACCCTCCTCGGGCTGCTCAAACGACACGCCCTTCTTGGCTGCCAGTCGCTTCTCCTCCTGCTCCTGTCGGTACTTTTGTCGCTTGTGCACAAAGGACTCCTTCTCCTCCTTGCCCATGTTAGCAGTCTCCGCCTCAATGTCCATTTCGCTCTGATCTCGTTTCGACATGTGTGATTTTTGGAGTCTTAAAAAAAATTAACCCTGATTAAAACTCTGCATGAAGTATGTGATAAATGTGAAGACAATGGTGGGAAGATGATGGAGGGAGGTAGAATAGGAGGAGGGAGAGAACTGGTCAAACGAATGACATGGTAGTGAGAAATTCCATCGGATCTCAGCGACATATATCGTTTTTCAGGTTATGACTTACTAATCAAAGTCTCCACTAGCTTGGTGGACTGAAAAACTCAATCCCCACCGTCCTTCGGAATCCGAAAGTCACAAGAGCCGGAACTAATCAAAGAGAGAAGGCGAACCTCATCGTCTTAAAACAGAAGGGAAAAGGGAGCTACTGTTGCTTGTGATTTTCTGATCACTCTATTTCTCTATCCCTGGGATCTTGAATAGTTATTCGAGCTCAGATTTGGTCTCAGTTGAGGAGATTTGGTTGGCCTCAAAAGACTGGCACGTCACGTCACGTAGTGAATGCAGGGAAATTAAGTAGAGCAGCCCCATTTGAAACAAGGTGGGTCTGAGGAAGGTAGAAGAGATTACACACGTACACAAACAGAACTACAGATTTAGACCTTGTATTCCACAAGTCTGATTGGCCAACTCACACCAAATACCCGCCTACAGGCGGTTAGTGTATTCACGCACGGCATCTCTCTTCATGCAAGTCTGGCCTGTGCCGTCTACTTGGTTACAATAATTGAGAGTCGCGATAGGCACGTCCAAACCAATGGATTGGGATATAAGGTTGTGTCTTGATTGATGGGAATGGGAGAATGGGAGGATTGAGGGTGATATCTTAGTGACTACAATGGCCCTACAATGACCCCATTTTCATATGTATATACTCAATCCACCCTGCTGAAATCACAGCTCTTTTCTCCCATCTCTAATGCCTCCCAAACACCTCTTAAAGCTCACGTGTGCGGTTCCTGAGAGTCTTGTACGCCACTGGAGACCCCACTGCAACTTAAACTTCCTCTCATACTATGCTTCGCCGCTTGAGTAGTGCCGTGCCACATCGTCTAGGACAAGTACAAAAGCACCTGACCACCTTCAACCGTCTTCTTTCCACCACACCTACCAACAACATGTCTCTCAACGACACAAAAGCGCCCCACATCCAGCTCGCCATCAAGGATCACTTCGAGGCCCTGTCCGACACTGAGAAGAAGTATGCCCACCACTTCTCTCGAGCCTCCCACCTCGGAACCAGAGTTATTCTCAGACAGGTCTCGCCCGAGTCCGAGGACATCTACAACCTGATTCTGGCCATTGCCGAGAGCGTCAACCAGGACTACTCCAAGCTCGAGTCTGAGTCCGTCTCCAAGGATGATGTTCGATCCTTCCTCGAGTACTCGTCCCAGTTCCTCTCCAACCTCGGAAACTTCAAGTCCTTTGGAGACGCCAAGTTTGTGCCTCGACTGGAGCGAGCCAAGTTCGCTGCCATTGCCGCCACCGCCAACCAGACTGCTCCCTTCGACAAGGTCGCTGACGCCATCTACTCCACCGACAAGACCCTGCTGGGCTTCCTCGACAAGGGCCACGTGACCGCCTACTACGGCGGAGACATCACCGAGGAGGAAATCACCAAGATCAACGACTTCTGCGCCTCCAAGACCATCTACCCCGAAAACACCAGAGTGTGGAAGACTGGCCCCAAACAGTTTGAGCTGCGAATCGCCTCGGCCGATACCGGAATCGCCCAGGATACCCAGTTCGATGCCTCGTACGAGATTCCCGACGTTGGAACCCTCAAGCTGGCCTACGGAGACTCCAAGACCGAGTTTGCCCAGATCGCCGAGGAGATGGCTTCTGCCGGTAAGAATGCTGCTAACCACATCCAGGAGCAGATGATCACTGCCTACGTCGACTCTTTCAAGACCGGCTCCATGGCTGCCCACCGAGAGTCTCAGAAGTTCTGGGTCAAGGACCTGGGCCCTGCCGTTGAGACTAACATTGGTTTTATTGAGACCTACCGAGACCCCGCCGGTGTGCGAGGAGAATGGGAGGGTCTTGTGGCTGTCGTTAACAAGGAGCGAACCAAGAAGTTTGGTGCTCTCGTTGAGGGAGCCAAGGAGTACGTCTCCGAGCTTCCCTGGGATGCTGAGTTCGAGAAGGACGTGTTCACCCCTCCGGATTTCCTGTCTCTGGAGGTCCTTACCTTTGCTGGATCCGGTATTCCTGCTGGAATCAACATTCCCAACTACGACGACATTCGTCTGACTGTTGGTTTCAAGAACGTGTCTCTGGGCAACATTCTGTCCTCCAAGTCTAGCAACGAGAAGATCACCTTCCTCAAGGACGAGGACTTGCCTCTGTTTGAGCAGCTCAAGGGACCCGCTTTTGAGGTCCAGGTTGGTATCCACGAGCTTCTGGGCCACGGTACCGGTAAGCTACTCTCTCAGGAGCGAGACGGAACCTTCAACTACGACAACGTCAACCCTCCCGTTGACCCCAACACTGGCGAGAAGGTCACCACATACTACAAGGCTGGCGAGACCTGGGGTGGTGTGTTTGGTGCCATGGCTGGCTCCTACGAGGAGTGCCGAGCCGAGTGTGTGGCCATGTACCTGCTGACCAACAAGAAGCTGCTGGAGATCTTCGGCCACACTGGACAGGAGGCTGATGATGTCATATACATTGGCTACCTGCTCATGGCCCGTGCCGGTCTGCTGGCTCTGGAGTTCTGGGACCCCGCTACCCGAAAGTGGGGCCAGCCTCACATGCAGGCTCGATACTCCATCATGCGATGTTTCGTTGACTGTGGCGCCGTGGAGCTCAAGTCCAGCAAGTCTGACTTCTCCGATCTGACCATTGTGCTCGATCGATCCAAGATCCCTGCTGCTCAGAAGGCTGTGGGTGAGTACCTCAGCAAGCTGCATGTCTACAAGTGCTCTGCCGACTTTGAGAAGGGCTCTGCTCTGTACAACGCCACCACCAACGTCTCTGAGGAGATGGCTGCATACCGGGAGGTTGTGATGGACTCCAAGCAGCCCCGACGAATCTTTGTTCAGCCCAACACTGTGCTGAAGGATGGCAAGGTCGAGCTGGTTGAGTATGAGGCTTCCGAGGAGGGCAACATCAAGTCCTTCCTTGAGCGAAAGGTCTAAGCGTATGAATAAGCGAGTGAGCTAGTTTATGCGGCGAAGAGAAGGTTGACTCGCCATCCCAGCGAGCCAATAGCCGGAGTCAATACTCGGACCAGTAACCGAGTTTGCATTGTTTATAGTCAAACCTGAATTGCCCTTGTGTACCTGAGTGCACATGTCGTAGATTGTTGTAGGTTGAAGACATGTGGTTTGTTTTTCTGAATGGAATGTGGGTAGTATTGGTTTTTTATTCTCCCGCAGTATAGAATGTGGTTTGTTTTTCCCCCTCCCTGTATAGAATGTTTTCCTTGTGTGATGACAGGGTCATCTTCCTTTTTGTCTTATTCCTTTTTCCCTGCCTTCCTTGTGAGCTGCACAGATGATGGGATTGAATTCAAGAGCACAGTATTTGTTTTTCCCACTGACACATACAACACACGAGCCCAACATTGATAACTTGCTCCCTCACACAAGTTTTCTACAAGTGTCCCTTGTTTTGCACTTTCAATCGAAACATGTCTTTGCTTGTTTGACCGCCTTGGTTACATATTCCAGTGATCCATATGATGTACGACATACGACGTACAGTATCGTAGAATGTAGAGAGGAATTGTTTGGAAGTACCCCTACTGAGCGTACTCTGCGATTCGTGTGAGACACGTCGTTATCTACCCCTCTCAGCTATATAGCAACATCATGTTATGATCAGTTGACGTCTATTATGACATCGTATGGTGTGCAGGTTTTTTCCCCCGGTGGTGTATAACCTCGGCTGAACCTCCGACCCTT